ACTAATACTTGCCACGAGCCCTTTCGCGTGGAAACAACAACAGCAATAAAATTATATTTCTGATGCAACATTTACATATTTGTTAAGTTATTTTCACGTTGAAAACAGATATTACAGGTTGAAATGTTTTCATAACGTCATGTGAGTAGTGCATTAGAGCTTTATCAAACAATGCACAATTTCATCGTTGAATGCATGGCAAACATAATTGCACAAGTCTCCGATTATGGATTGTATATGTAACCTTATGTGACAATCCGTTATATTTAAACCACACTTTCTACAATGTCGCTATAACTTTTCCAGACTTTGAGGATAGACGTCTCAAAAATAGATACATTTCATTGCCAAATCAAATCAGAGTTAATCTTAGTAGCGAGATAGCCGCAGATTACTGTATTGATTTTATGTTGAATCTCATCCTTTCAGAGCAAGAAATCTCTAAAGAGTCGTTGCTGAAATAATAAAAAAGATGTGTATATATTCCCGATGAACCATTCGAATTAATTATCACATTCTAGTCTGGGTAACATGTAAACATGTCAACGCTGCAACTGATCTGATCAAATTCAATTAAATATCAATATCATAATATAAGCGAAATCGTGTGTGACATTTTCATTAGATGAAAATCGATAGTCACTGGTTAGATCTTGATTGAAGATCCCAATTGGGTTCCTGATATGAACATGTATGCAATACTTTACGGAGCTGCTAGGACTTACTTTCAAGTTCTTTACCCTTATTATATTCTGTGAAATACATTACACGATGAAGTTTGCATACGTCAGATTGCAAAAGCAAACTGTGCATGGCATGCACATAATAATGGACTTTCGTGCAACCTATTGGTGTTATACTTCGTTAATTATATTCTATTTCAAATATGCAGTGGCAGACAACTGCGTGGACACTTTCGTCTAAAACTAGTTGCAGGGTGTTTACAGTAAGAGGCTTGCTCATAGCTGTGTCGTCCTCATTCTGTAAAAATAATTTGATGTCATTCAGCTGTATAAATATGCATGTCGGAAAATTGTGTTTGACGTTTTATTTGTCTCGTAACACAAACGTTATGAATTGAATACAGTTGGCGGAGATAAATAGCTTTCCAGATTAGGCTTGAGGCACATGCAATTAATGACCCTCCTGTAAAACTTTAAACCGAGAGTGGCTTTGAACTATGTGTTTTGCTTCTTTTCGTTCAGGTTTTACGTTTACAAACGATCTGTTGGGTCATCTTTTATTGAGTGTAAAATACGTCATTTTGAAATGTGGCTGTTTGACTAGTGCTTTTGAAGAACACACATTTTGTCGTAATCCATTTAGTGTTCTTCATACACGTATACTGTCCAAATATTGCCAACCACATCATATTTATGAGATAAGAATAGGAACGCGATGATTCATCTGTCCTACCTTTTCATCAATGCAACCCACTAGCGTTCAGGTTTGAAAGTTTTAAAATATTTCTGATTTATCCCAATGGAAACATTTCATCTACAATGCGAGTGCGTAACGCTGCTTTGAAAATATGTCATTCCTATCACGACAAGTAAGCTATATATTCTTGATACTATCTGCTTCTACTTTGTTTCTACTACCACATCGTAGTAAGACTTAAAGTACAGAAGCAAGAACGTTCACCACTGATCAGAGGTAAGCAGCTGACAGATATATAAGGTATCACAAGATCAAGTATCGGCGAGAATACAAGAATGGAACCAACGACTTTAGCCAACAGTGCATCCTAGCAGTAACGGATGAGCACAAGTGGGAAATCATTTAATACAAAGCTATGTATCATAATCTGTGATGTTCTACTTTGAAAATCAGTGTATGCATGTACGGAGATAATTAACTTAGAGGCATTACGGGGACGTGTACTGGCATTTTCAACTTTGATGTGCCAATAAATCTGACAGGTGTTTTTCGGATGTGACATCACCTTACCAAAGTTTATTTCTAAATGCCTGTGTATATGTCATGGGATATAGCTTGGCGAGGACTCCATAATAGATTCATGCCTGAAGTCACCGGACTTGTGATACAATTTCTGATAACAAATGGTTACCGGTATTGACAAAATAAAGTCTGCATTAATTCCTTGTTTGGCTTTTCAAATATTAATATGTTTCCCATTAAATACATAACTATGTAATAAAAAGACACATGCTGCTGTTACTTTCGTGCTTTATGCATGTCAATTTAACTTCAGTAGCATTTGATTATTACGAACAAATCAAACAACTAACTGAAGCCACACATTTAAAAAAAACCGTCTTATGTAAGTCTTATGTAAGAATTATACAATCCATATATTCATTGTATCATAATTTTATCGATCAAATGAAAGAATGTTATATTTATTAATAGCCTATAAATAAACATTTATTTCTGATCATTTAGAATTAAACATCAAAGAGAAAAATGACAGTTTCCATTTCGATATCTAACGGTAGTCGAACAACTGAATATTCTACTTCCTTTTAAGCATTAAACTGCTTTTTCGGTAGGCTTTATCTTGTGCAGATAATTCAAATTCAGTATCTTACGAAATGCGGTAAAATTGAAACTACGCTCGGTTTACTGGCAGTCCAACCAGATTTCACTCTCGTCCCTCAAATAAGAGTGAGATGGTCTGCTGGATCACATTGTATGACGTATACCAATTTAGCAGTTAATAATAACACTAATTACGCTAAGTTACACGCGTGGCATAGTGGCCCTCTGATATATAGCAAAAGAAGAAACAACTACTAGTTTAATCAATGCTCCATGTGTTCGGTTCAGCAGAGTTATAGCATAGAGCTATTCCCTGTGAATAAAGGAAACAAACCTTCAATGAACACCTTCAAGTGTCTGTCATTTATGGATACCTGAGGTATCAAATTGTCCCCTGAACAGCGCAAAGGTCCCTTATCAGGCGAAGTTAAGCAACGCTCATCGTGCAGATATTGAGAAGCTGTGGTTTACCCCGGAAAAATACGGAACGTGGAGTAGGGAGTGGTCGGCACGCCTCACCCTCGGGGGCGTCTCACCACAGCCACCTTTCGACTTTTAAAACAACACAGCAAGTCTCACAATAGCGAACTGCGGTATTCTTTGAGGATTATAAATTTTTATAACATGGGGAGTCGTGTCGAGAACAAGATTAAGTAGGTGAGCGATAACTAACCGCTGGTAAGAACAGAGTGATCAAGCGATGATAGATTGATGTAGCATCTATTGGTGAGTAAGGATTTCGATGTTCATCATCACTTGCATCATTGCTGAATCACAACTAGATTTGTAGTATTATTCCTTCCCGTCGTGGAGGCAAAATATTGTGTTTCGAAGGTTTCATGTACAGATACTTATAACAAGACCAAATATGCTTGGGAGATAATCGACAGTCAATGACAGCTCAACACAACCATTTATGATTATATATTTTAACAAAATGTTTCAGGTGTGTTGTAACTTGCATTGTATTATGAGCCACACTAATAAATTCTCTTTTTTATTTCTTGTGCATGTGACTTTTGTTTGAATTGTGTTAAAATTTGTATATTAAATCTAACAAAAGTTATTGTTTTAGAAACAATATCGAGGATACTACAAACTACAAAACCGTAAAAAGATGACATAAACGTCTGAAGAAGATATTAAAAAGGCACACCCTGGTCTGAACGAGTTCGTTACATTCCTGAAGACAGAAAAGAAGACCAGCGCAATACAAGTGCAGAATGCGACAGGCGGCCCCAAACGTGGAGGAGAAACTGCAACGGAGAGGCCATATTCCAAGTCCTGAACGATCAACTTCTGATGGGCGAACTGACACTTGCAGACATTGCTCATGAAGTGGTTCGCACAAAGCGTGCCTCTGTCTTATTTTTTAGACGCTCCCCGTACGCGTATCTCCCATTGTTCCCCCCTTCGACTACATCAGCCAAAACGACTTCCAGTCCCACCAGAGCGACCTCTTTCACTTTTATTTTGGACCCAAGCGAAGCTAAGGTCGTCCTCGTGACACCCTTCACACCCCATTCCAAAGGCTACCGCTACCCAATCCATGTATGTTATATTACAAGTACAATATGTGGTACATTTTTCACTTCACTTGCGGGGCCACGGGTGGCCCAGTCGTCTAAGGCGCCGCGATTCGCTGTGCAGAGTTGCGTCCCTTGGGCACGCCAGAAACCTATGATTGTGGGTTCGAATCCCGGTTCGCCCCGATTATGTTTCTAGGTTTCTCAGCACCATACCCGTGCACGTGGGTTTCACCGAAGTGGTAAACGTCTGAGACCTGCATCACCTCGGGCTTTCCTCCCACATTAAGCTGACACGCCGCGATATAACCGGAATACTGTTAAAAGCTCACTCACTCACTTCACTTGCCCTTTAAACACAGCACCTTCGCCTATGATGCATATATAACAGAAACCAATATTGTTTGATCTGGATCTGTTCCACACTGACACACATATTCACACGAACTCTTCAGTTACTTAGACCTATGCCGCCATAAGGGAGAAGGATTAAGCAGCTGGCGCCTCATAAACGCACTAATATAACAACAATAGTGTCACTAGTAGAACACACGTAAGCAATCCTGGAAAGACAAAAACGAAGCCACGGAAATATACCTATTGAAAAGTTCCGGACTGATGTGGATCTAGTTTTATGCAGTAGAACTAACCAGTAAGCTCATCTTATAACCCGGCATGTATAAAAGTGTAAAGACCACACAAAGACACGTTCGTTTGGGGTAACCATCAATTGTCATGCATTGCAGTTGCGTAGCTTTGCTTTGGTCAACTATTGCGCGAGACTCACAATCGTATGTTCGATTGAATATTACTGATAATCTTATACACAGGGTTTTCAAGATGCTACAAATAATGCAACATGTACTACAACAAAAGGACTTTATTTCGGAATGACAGATAACTGTGACAATATATCTGAAACACATTATTGTTTATCATTTTCGTCCGATCAATGATGTGTCGGTCCTCTTATCCGTCAAGAGGTAAGTGCGCGCAAGCCATTTCTGTGCAGAAGACAAAACCATTCGTGCAGCCGCAGGTATTGCATCCATCAGTTGATTTGAATCCTTCACCAGTGTGGTATATTTGCCCATTGTAGTTACAAGTCTTCTCGGCTGTGGAGAATGATGTTATAGGAACTCACTACAAGATATTTGTTATATATATTCTATATGCCCTGTCGATGGAAAACAAGGGACAAAAAGACAAAAGAAAAAGAAAGTCTGAAAGTTTACATACTACCACAATGCGCACTCGGTTACACATTCAATTTCTTCTGTGAAGATCCGGTTTCGAATAGGTCTTCAGCAAACCATGCTTGTCGAAAGAGGCGACTAACGGGATCGGGTGGTCAGGTGCTTTAATATGACTGGTCCACCCTTGCCCACTAGACAGTAACATAAGGTGATTTATAATGTATTATTTTGTGTTTCCTGGCCTCAGTAAAGCTTTCAAAATGTTTTATGATTGGCATTTGATAATGGTCGGTGCTAATCTGGTGGGTATACACGTGGAGGACAGTGACAAAAATGATGTCCGATGCAATTCCCTATTTTGACTCAAACCAAATGTTCACGTTGTTTTCAAGTGAACAACTGACTTGCCTTTGCATGTGTATGGACTGGGTGGCATCGGTGGCGCAGGATACTCTCACCTTTTAGCGAACACCTGGTATCATCACTATGTGATAGTGATTCGTAAACATGTTTATTATATGGTCAGATTCGTACCATAACCCTCCTTTTAGCTACAAATTGTTATGAATATGGAAAGGGTTTTGTCGCCTATTTATGCAGAATTATCTACACATAATGTAGTAATTTGTACACAGTTGTAACTTAATTTACCTGTCTTTATAACTGAATATTTTATATAGCTTTAGTAATTATGAATTATATTAAATATAAGCCTCAATTTTACAATTCGCGGATGCCTAATAATTGTTTGTATTACTCGTTCATCTTACATTTATCTCTGATCACAATATAAAAATCAAAGAGGAATTATTTTTATCCAGAAATACAATCAAGATGGTTTTACCTGCTACAGTAGTGACTAGAAATCCGAGCAAACAAATCAGAATCGGGAGCTTCATTTTTCAATGGGTATACGAAAATTGTCCACGCAATCTGTGAATGATTAGGCGAGAGACGTGAAACCAAGCAGGCAAGGTGTGGCACCAAAGTGTGTCAGAGAATGGCAATTCGACCAAACTACGGCCATCGGTGTCAATGTGTGCCTCTAATGGTTATTTCCACCGATCCCTTGCCGCTACTATCAAGTAAAGTGTAGCTTAACCGCGTGTGTTGAAATAAATCAGAATCTAGGGTAGCTATGTGGCGGCAAAGCACCGAGGATTACATTTGCCTCACTTTGACCAACAATCCAGCGAAAGGAAATGACTTTTATATGAGACAAAAAAACTCTTGTCCATTCGTAAGATCGGCTAAGAAGATTGTTGTCATTTGCTGGTGCAAACAAGCTTTCACAAAGCTTTCAGGTGGAATTATTGGCTTTTCCGACTCGATAAAAGTAGCTATTACCACAATTGTTTTCACAGTGTCGTGCAAAGCTATGATGCATCACGCCAACGGTTATCTAATGCAACATGGTCGTTTGAGTCCTAAGAGTTATTCCCCTTGACTTGTTTTGTAAGGAATAGAATTGATACATCAATAATTATCTTTGAAAAGAAAATAGCCGTAATTCGTGACAGTGTTATCTGTGTCAATGGTACGTGTGATATGTATTTTGGCTTTGAAGCATGTATGGATGAACTGCAGTGCAAATGTATATTTATGGGGAAGAAATGTTTTTTGAACATGTCGGGAACAAAAGCAAGTACCTGGATAAAGAGGTTAGCTGATTGAAATGGCTGAGCTATGTATTTCAACGATTGTATTGTCTTGTCTTGTAACTGAATCGTTATGTCTTTTCATACAAAGGATAAACTCCGGTAAAGGATCATATTTAAAACATGTTGAATCTTAACTTCAAAGAATCTTGTTTTCAATTGGTTTTATAAAGGTCACACAAGATGAAAAAGATATATGGAAATATCTTCATCCATCGGTTTGCCTTTTTGATGTGCTTTTTTATTATCGAGATTTGCACACACCCTTCGCCTTTGTGATCGAAACATATTTAATTTCACACAAATATGAAAATGGATTGAAAAGCAAGCGACACATAATACATGATACAATTCATACACAAGTGAAGGTGAAATGTAACTAAAGGAAACATGCGAAACTAGATGTGTATATATGATAAACATATTTGCGGTTATATCAATCAATTCATTAACTGGTCTGCGTTAAGATCACTGCAGCCAAGCCTGAGACGACTTTGAAAAACTTGACATAACCGAGATGTTTCCATAATTCAGTGCATCGCATTATCTCCCCTTCTCATGAAACAAGTTCTAACATTTGGTAACGGCCCGTCTTAGGTTTTCTGATGGCATATTCCAAAGATTTGTTGTAGCTTGTATACCTGAATCTGAATATGCTTTACAATTTACTCTTCACTATTTGAACATTAGCTTTATCTATTAAGTTACTATTCTGGTTTATGTATTAGTACTAAGCCTACAAAGATATTCGGGTGAACTTCATTTTGTAAAACGTGACCAATTTTGCATTGTATCCGCTGCCTTTTAATAACTTAGAATTTGATTCTTTGGAAATTGTCTGATGCGTCGTTACCCGAACAGCACCACATATGGTTCTGTCTCATAAATTAGCTTGTACAATAATTAAAAAAACAATAATAAAAACAATGGTCAAATATATGCGATATATGGGGTAGTTCGGGATAAAAGACCTTTATATCTTCTTAAACAATTAACCATCGGTTGGCTGGTTTGTTGTTTAAAGCCGCACTCAGCAATATTCCAGCTATATGACAGCGGTCTGTAAATAATCGATTCTGGACCAGGCAATCCAGTGATTGATATCATGAGCATCGATTCACGCAATTGGGATCGATGACCGTGCATCAACCAAGTCAGCGAGCCTGACCACCCGATCCCGTTAGTCGCCTTTTACGACAAGCATAGATATGAACTATACCCATCATTAACAACCTTTTGATATCGATTTTCTAAGTAACTATCAAACCTTCTCATCAACTTTCCACAGAAACCATAATGTTGTAGTTTATTAATTATCCCCTTTTGACAAACTTTATCAAAAGCTTTACTCCTATCACAAAATGCAGCTCTAACTTCCTTACCTTCATTTACAGCCTTTGCAATAAAGTCATAAAAATTTCAGCTGATTTGGAGCATGACTCCAGATTGTAGGCTAGTAAGTATACACTCTTCAAAAAAAAAGAAACGCACAGGTAGTATGTAGTTCATTGAACCTGACTACCAAAAAAATCCGGTATATAAATTGGATATATGTTACTGAAAAATGTTGGTGGCCTGATATTCTACAAACGGTGCGTCAAAACGCAGCCATTGTCGACTTGCAATGTCTTAAACGGCATTGTTTTCACACTTGTTCGAAAATGTCATGGAGGAAAACAGTAAAGCAAAATGCACTTGCAAGCAATGGCATTCGTAACTCGTGGTAGTGGCTATAAAAAGGCAAGCATAACCCAATTATTAGTCATTCAATTGTCAACATTTCGAAAACGCCGAGACTCGGCGCTGCCGATCGGAACATTACCATAGGACGTATCCAAATAGGGGAATCGCAGTCTTCTGTGTCCGCCACTTCAACGTCCACCACAGCACTATTTGCCGCCTTTAGGAGGACCGATACAGACGCCCAGTCAGCCTGCTTCTGCCTCGAAATGTTCAATGCATGTCTTGTTGTTGTTGCAGTAAGTATTTAAGAGGTCGCCGTCTGTTTAAGAAATTTCGGCTGACCTGTCCCTGTTTGGGACTCATGTGTGTACGTAGGGTACACATATCTATTCTTTTTGTGAGTTTGGTATTCACATATTCACATAATTGTTGACAGGATTCTTGGATCCATCAGAGTATATGGGCCCAGCTGTCCCAGGTAGTTTGAATTTTAGTGATAGCTACTGATGGTAGTAGGGTTGGGTTTTCCTTTTTAGTGACTTCTGATGTTAACTTTGATAGTTTTTAAAGTCCAGGGAGGGTGTAACCCTTTGTTGTGACTTTCTGTTGGCTACATGTCATCACAATTGTGACTTCGGATGAGATCTCGTACTAATATCCAAGATGGCTTCAGTGAGGGATTTTTCCGAGCTCGGGCTTCATCACGAGTGTTTTTGTCTTGCCATATCTTTTTAACGAAAGGGTTTGATGTTTATCCCCAGGACGATAATATTGCCTGCTCTCTTCTCAGTTTCGATGGGAGTATACTTGTAGTGCTTCTAGTGATCATGAAGTGCCTGCTGCTGCTGCTCCTGTCCAGCATTAGGCTTTGTATTGTATTCTGTCGGCTCAAGACTGTATTTGATGCTCAAGACTGTATTTGATGAAAGGCCTCACAACCATAGTCTATTTTTGATCTGATTAGTGATTTGTAGAGGTCCAGCTGAGTGTCCCTCGATGTGCCCGAAGATGTGCCCGTAATACGTAATACGTCCTGGTCTTTTTTATTTCTGTTTTCCACATATTCTATATGTTTGCGCCAAGTGAGGTGTTGATCAACGATCACCCCAAGAAATATTGCGGATGTTTCGAATTTGATTGGTTTGCATTCTATGGAGACACGGGGTATCGTAGCATCTTTCCCCTGCGAACTCCCAACAGTTTTTTTCACTTGAAAGGGTAAAACCCTCATTTATTGCACCATTGATCTACTCCGTCCAGGGCTGACTGTTTTTTTTCGGATTTGTGAAATATCTCTGTGTTTTACCCATATGGCTCCGTCATCAGCGAATTTAGAAGTTTGAGTAGGAGAGCTGACATGATCAAAAAGATCATTAATCATGATGTTAAACAGGGTTGGGTTTATAATGCTGCCTTGTGGCGTGCCATTGTCCAGTGACATCAGATTGATTGTTCCCTATTTTAACTGATAGCGACCTGTCTTGCAGGAAGCTCTCTATGAAGTTTGCCATGTTTGCCTTTTACTCCATTTTGTGATAGTTTTGTGTGCCATACCATGTCGAAGGCTTTGTTGAAGTCCAGAAATACTGCGGCTAGGTATTGTCTGTTTAATTGAGCTTTTTGATTTCATTTTCCAGTCTTAGGGTATGATTTAGACATGAGTGTCCCTTCCTGAAGCCGCTTGGGTCATATTTTATGTGGGTGCCAGTTTCAAGGTGATGCATGAGCCTCCGGTTACAGGCCGCCTAAGCCACATTTCGAAAATAGATAGCTTAAATTGATGTGGCTCTCGTGGCAATGGTTACGTGATTGTGGAATGTGGCTCTCGTGGCTATGCTGTCAAAACATGCTTTGTGATTCTAACAGGTTACCGTATTTAACAAAACAAGTTTTGTTTTCTCATTTTGTATTCAGATCATAACAGGGATAATTTATTCAACATTACATTGATGGATATCATGACAGGTCATATTACATTGTCACATTACAGGTCACGATTGTGTAATGAATTGTACTTCCTTCTTCGTGAAGGTTCTGACCACTGGTGAGAGGGTCTCAGGACTGCAACCTCTGTGAGTGACTGCTCGCGCTGAAAGAGCTTCACTACCTCGTAGATCGGCACTACCTCGTAGATCGGCACTTCGGGTGGCACTTCTTGACAAGTCTCTTTTTCTTGTTGTGCCAACCTTCTAGGTGATTGTACGTACGGTGGCCTTGTGACGAGGTGGCGTGAAGCAACTCACCCTGAGTTGTGATCCTTGCAGTGCACTCCTTGACAATACAGGACCAGTATCTTCTTTCACCACGACTGCTCTTACACCGAAACTTAAAGCCATCATAGTACAAAATGACGCCTCCTCTGCCACTTTCAATGAACTTTATTTGAACTTGTGCATTTGCCATGGTTCTGACATGGAGTGAACAGGACGTCACTTAAATATGTTATGAATAACAGGATTAACTCAATGTCAATTAAGAACGCCATTGATCTCTAAAGAACACCACGCTAAGTAATCTCTACAAGCTAATTGAGGTGAGTTTACTCAATATAAATGTGAACGTACAATCGACCATGAACTATACACCTGTGAAGACCTACCAACTAATTCAAACAATAAGTAAGTATGACAAATAAAATGTGTTATGCTAAAAGATAATTATCTAGCAGCCTGT